GCACCATTCGCAAAGAAGTCGATGACTGCTTCTCTACCAGACTGAGTGTCCTACGACAAGTTCGAGATGCGATGGCTGAAAGTTACGACCTGCAGAAGAATATGTAGATGAAAAAGAAAGAGGCGAAATAAAAAGCTTTAAGGTCGGGGATTTGATTTTATTAAATTCTAAAAACCTGTCTACACATGCAGCCTCTGCTCACGTAGACCGTTTAAGGTTGTGGTCAAGCGGGGCCTAGCGTATACGTCGAGCCTTCCAAAACGGTTGCGCACCCACCCGGTGTTTTACGTGGGCTTGCTCAAGCTGTACCGGGATCCGGCGCAAGTGAACGCAGAAGCGTTGGTGCCGGGGCGGGTCCCACGGGTCCTCGGCCTTCCAGAAGCTGAAGCAACAGCTGGTTCTGAGCACGGAGTGCAATAACCTTCATTTTCAATGGCGCTAAGCGCCTCACCGTCGCATGCAGCGACGCATTCGCCTGCTCTACGGCCAGGAGTTGCTCCGACAGAGCGCGGTAATTCTCAAGGTGAGGCAGCCAGCGCACGACGTGATTTAAATCGTCAAGAGCGTCCGCACAGCGATATACTACTTCAGCATGACGCCCTGCGGAGCTCCGATCACGAAGGACCTCGTCTTCAAGGGCTCGAAGAGCATCACGAGTCATCGGACGGCGGTCGACTCGGTCGTCACCGCCCGCACCGGCTCTTCTCGACGAGAACGGTGACGTCCAATATCACGTGAAACGTCTAGTGAGACGACATCGTCACCAGGGTCAGACCCAATATCTGGTAAAGTGGCGGGGATATCCCGACTCCAAAACTCGTGGGAGTTTGAGGCGCCACTTCGGCAAGATTGCCCTGTCGCCGTGACGCTTTTGATCGGGAAGATCAGAACGGCCCGCGTCATCAGACGCCCCGCGCTTCCCGGCAATAGCCAAGAAAGTAGAAGGGTCATGAGCTGAGCTCAAGTAGTGGCCCTGAGCTCTTGCGGTCGAAGACACAGAGCTCGCGGGAACATTAGGAATTAACCCATACGTCGCAGGGCGACAATCCGGAGGAAGTCGACAGCGTGCCTTGAGGTTGGCAAACTCAAATCGGAGGTGTCGCTCGACACGCACGTCCACTTCCTTGTGGCTCAACTGTAGGTTATACAGTAAGGAAACTTTCCGGTGCCGTTGCACCCATTGTTCAAAGAGCACATCGTGCTTTCGCCAGGGGCGAGCACTACAGGTATCGGCAGCATCGCGGGTATACGAGAGCCACCTCTTTGAGCACGTAGACGAGTGCGATAAACGTCCAACGGAATTTCTTGTGGGACAAACGAAACGAGCTCGAAGAGCCTTTCGTGTGGCAACTTCATCATCCTTCTGGCCGGGGGCCCGGTGATGTCGACTTGTAACGATCGAGTTACCGCGTCCTTTGTTTCCACGGTGGGATCCGCTGGGCGAAAGCCATATTCCACACGAGGGTCAATGATCGGCCGTGGATCGGCGCGCTTTAGAGCCGCCGTATGGGCAGCTTTAAGCTGCCGCCTCGTTCCCCATCGAGGTCATTGGTGATCACATCACGTCCCTCAGTTGACGAGAAGTCACGGAACGGACACGGGGTCCGCAAGGCGCAAGCAGGGCTCGTATCTCGCCGTTGGCGCAGCTCGCCTTCCTCGTCGTCCCATGCGAGAAAGGGGATGTCAGACTCGTAATCGACCACCCTCACATCCTCACCGAGGTCATTCGTCACTGATAGCGTGCGCGGAGTGCGACGCTTGTGCTCATCGAGCCTAGGGTGTATATCCCTCGGTGCCGCGGACGCACTGTCCGACAATGCACCGCGAGCGGGAGACGAAGTTGGACTCTGCCCGTGCTCGCCGTCAGAACCAGCGAGACTTGGAGATTCTGGTGTCATTGACACAGGGCTCATTGAGCACGGAAGTCCTTTCGATTTAACGCAGTGTCTAACGGACTCGCAAGCCCCGTTGAGTCAATCGATTGGAACTGTGAATGTTAATGAGAGAGAGTGTAACGGGGTCACACATACCCTGGTAACAGGGTGTGTGTCACACCAGATGGGCATGATGTGACCACACCCAAACAAGAATACGGCGGGGCTATATAGCCAGTAGTTATACATGTATCTAGATTTTACTAAATTTAGAAAATTTTATACATCTAAAATCTTGGAGTAATTGTTGCGATCCGCTGACTCAGACTTTGTTGTTTCTTGTAAAGAATGAAAGGTCGGTGACCTAAAGTACGCTTTCTTTAGCGCTAAGCTACGGCAGCTCCACCGCAATTTCTTTGTTATCTCTTCTTTCAAGTGATTGATACAAATATGGTGTATATACTTGCAGTACTGATATTACAAAAGGTACCTACCTAGTCGTACCTTTTGTAATATCAGTACTACAAAAGGTACCTAGTCGTACCAGTCGTACCTTTTGTAATATCAGTACTACAAAAGGTACCTAGTCGTACCTTTTGTAATATCAGTACTGCAAGTATATACACAATATTTGTAGTGATTGATACAAATGTGGTGTATAGGTACCTAGTCGTAGTGATTGATACAAATATGGTGTGACTAGGTACAATTGCGCCAAAAAATGGTAGCCGATTGTCTACTTGTACGCAATTAATCGTACTAATTGAAAAGACAGGATTACGTGCGTACAAAAAGAGAAGGTTTGATGTTTAAGGAGACAAATCTTTTAATATAGTTATCTAAGTAACAATCAAGCATTTCTACTGACTCGTCTAAGCCAATCAGGCAGAGTTGGTCTCAGGATCCGTTCACGATATATTTCAAAAACCATTTATTGTTTATAGCAGTCTTGACCAAATTCAGCTGGTCTTCTGGTCTGAAAGCCAATAAGTTTTCCGAACTAACCTATATCGAGGATTAAGGTACATATCACTACTCTTTTCCTCAATAAAATCATTTGACTCTAACATGCGGTGCGAATCTAGGTGATCAGTCTTTTCGCATCCTCTAGTTTTGAAACGTTTCATTTTTGCACGATTGAATGATCAGACATCACCTAGATTGTCATCGTTGCTGAACTATCCAGTAAAGAATTCAATTCTTTTTGCTCTCGTCTGCTTGAAGCTCTTACCTAGTTCATAAATGCTCACTGATTGCACTCTGTGAGAATTCAAAACGATCTACAAAAGCCTTTAAATTAGCAACATTTCTAAGCATTAGAGAGATGGTCCATTTTTAGGTTAAGGTAAGGATTAGAATTAAACCACCTATAATATATTTAGTCTTCATTTTGATACACGCTGCAATTAAAAACCCAACGTTGTTTGGGTAGTATGGGTTTAATTAACACGAAACCCATATGACCAAAAGGATTGTAAGAACGAAGGTTGTTTTTGCCACACACTACATATGTTTCATGGATCAGAACCAGATTGGTTCTACTCTGTATACCATTTGTAGCTGCCAACGTGCGAGCTGTGGTTATAGCGATAGATAACCTCGTAATGCTGCCGATAAAGATGTTCGTAAATAGAGGCTCAGCTGATTTTCGACGGCTTCTTTCATTGGATAGCACTCGAGATACAATCTGTCATCTGATGTTATCGAAGGATATCATGGACTGACCAAGTCGCTCGCAATAATTTTAGAAATTAGCAATAACATTTACTTTGCAAAATACTTTTGCAAAAAAACGCCATAAAATGCTGAACATTACATCCTAACTGCCTGAGCTGGGGTGGTTCAAGCTTCAAAGGTAGCTCACTTCACATCTGGTCTACATACTGCTTAAAACGACAGCCGATACGCTTTACAATACTGACTTAGATTTGCTTGACAGTGTACACCAAAGAGACCCCCCTCCAACTTTAATTACTTGAAAAACAAAACAACTTTGTCATAATGGGATGACAGTGTTTCACTCGTTGATGGTCCTGTTTTTCGCAAAATCAAAAACTTTAGCGGCAATTTCTCGCAGTCTGCATTTATCAGCTGTGCTTCACGATATAAAATCTGAATTCTAACTTTGCCATACATCTTTGAGTGGGTTCAGCTCTAAACATGAAATTAGATGTGTTTTCTAATCGCTCACCTGGAGATCCGGACACCAAGCAACTGCCCTTCTCTGACTTTCTTGCGTGGTCTCCGATTATGGGTTTCTGGCAGGCACGTAGCCTCAGTTTCGGGCAATGACAAAAAGTCACAGTCAAACATTTATCGACCTTCTCAAACACTAATTTGATATCTCGACGGCATCACATCGTGAAAAATGCGTCACCTTCCTATGCTAGTCATGTTGCTAGTTGCTATCACGCTGCATGCAAGCGCGATTGCCTTCCCCAAGTCAAAGTTGGCGACCTCAAGCGTTGTGAATCGTCTATCTCACAAATTGGGTGACGCGGTCGTTGAGAGGTCTCTGAGAGCCGAGGAAGGTACTTCAAAATCAATCGACGGTGAAGAGAGAGTCCTTGATGCTGTTACCAAAAACCTCGGAGTGACTGAAAAGATGACAGGTATGTTACACAACGTAGGAGTTTCAACAGATGCAGAAGCCCCAAATGTTGCCAAAGTCGTTAAAGTTGTAGAGACTTTAACTGGGGCTGAGGGCGTAAAACCAACACAAGTCGAAAAAGGTGGTGAATCTGTCAAAGGAACAGAAACCTTTCATGCTTCAAAAGACCTCAAAGCTGCAGCGAATGCCGAACCTGCGGTTGAAGCCACTTCTACGCCCATCGTCAAATCTCCGAACTTTTTTCAACGTCTGGGTAACAAGATTAAAAGTATATTCGCCAAAATCCTGAGTTGGTTTCGTTGGAAGAGATCAGAGCCTGCCTCTCAAGACTCAACCACCGTTACAAAGGAAATTGAGGACACGTCAGCAGCTCGTGTCGACGGTGGGGTGGGCGCCAAAACTGTCGATATTAGCACGCTACATGAGAAAGCTAATGAACATGGCGATGCTTTGCCATCAGGTAAGAATGTAAAGATAACGGGCGATCAATCCCCCCCACGTGAACCAAAACCAACGACAAACCTAAATTCTGGTGAAGAAGTTGTCATACATCCCCCGAGCACAAAGGACAACCCAGCACCGAATGAAGAACCTTTCCCACCTGTACTACAACCTAAGAACGAACCAGCCCATGATGAACCAGAGGTTTTCTTTCATTTACACGATCCTCCAACGTCCGGTGAAAAGGTTATTGTACTCAAATCAGAACCAGATCGATTTCCAGAAACGGGTGAAGGGCCTCCCCAACATGTAGTGAACACGGATTTCAAACCGACACCAGGTGAAGTGCTTATTGCACCAAGACCGAAATCCGAGACAAAATCATCCTCAGAGGAGACAGAGGTGCTCATGCGTTCACCGGATCATAAGACACAACCAAAGCCCGATGAAGAGGTTTTTGCACACAAATCGGAAGCAAATCCTAATCCAAAAAAGGGTGAAGAGCCTCCCCAACATGGAACAAACACGGTTACAGAACCGATTTCGGATGAAACGGTTCTATCGCCAAAAGTGAGATCCAAGGTAGAACCAGACGGGGATGAGCAAGAGGTTCACGTGCGTTCACCGAATTTTGAGGAAGACCCAACGTTGGATAAAGAGATTCCTTCTCATGATCCTAAACCGGGTGAAGAGCCTCCCCAACATGGAACGAACACGGATACCAAACCGACTGCAAATGAAGAGGTTTCATCTCTAAAACTGAAATCCGACGTACCACCAGCCCTGGATGATTCAAATCTACCGGCATCCTTTCCAGAACCACTTATCGGTGACGAGGTCTTAGATCATGAGAACTACATATTAGCTCCAGACACTCTTGAATCTCCCAATCTGGAAACGGCAACTACTGACACACCTCAAACATCGTTGTGGAGTCAATTCATAAATACAGTGATATCTCCATTTTGGAAACCGAAATCACCAACATCACGGGTCGAACCATCTCAGTAAGATCACCAAAGTAAAAGAATGACAACGAAGATGAGGTCTCTGACAAATAACACCATTCGATTTACTCTTGAGCTGTTTGCGACGTATTAACGAATACAATTGATAATGTGACTGACCTTCATTTATCGTCTACCGCCGGCTACTAGGGGTTTCTCACCTCTTACATACAAAGACAACACAAGTGTATGCTCGTGCGAGACTAACCGACACCCAGTTCAAGCTAGCATTTTGATTTTCAGCTTCTCGTTTCACCGCGCGTCACCAGCACCAACCCTCCAGTATAAACACACCAGAAAATGAAAGTCTCACAGCTCGTGGGCTGATGTGAGATATTGATCGAAAACTGATCCTGAATAGTTAAGGTATCTGGCTTTTCACTCTCAACTTAAAAAATATCTGCAAGTATTTGATCCTCCTTACTAAGTAGTACAGAAGATAAATTGATAAATAAGACATAGTGTGCTTCCGTTCGTGTTTGTTGTGTGTCTTCGCTTTTGTGAGTTCAAGTGTGCGTTGACATGCTTTAAGAACAGTTATAATGTAGCAAGTGAACAAAACTATTGGATCGTCAAGTGTATGGCAAGTGAAGTTTCCTTGCAGTATTGCCAGTCTGTACATGGAAATTTTGGTTTCCCAAGGAAAAATTGCGACAAATCTCTTTCATGATCTTTAAAGCCTTGCTCTTCTTCCCAAAACATGTATCATTTTCATTAATAATAATCAGTGTTCTAAAAGTTCCGATACTTGAAGTCCAGATGTCGGTTTACAAGCTGAAACAAGTTCATCACCAAGTATGTGATAAGTCATATGTTCCTTTCTGAAATCCTCAAGACGTTGCGACTGACGAGTCAGTGCCCCAAGAAGCAATACGGTGTGCGACGAGCAATTAAAAATCAGGTATCAGGGAACGACGCTCAAAGCATCATTACAGAGCCGAAATACCGCGTGGCATAAAGTGCTGACACGCCCAATTGATACAAGACACCATGCGAAGGTTAATTGTTTATACTATCCTACGTAGTGAAGGGATCCCATACATCAACACGAAATATTTTTTTTTCGATTAATATAGAGAAAGCAAGGATATCGATTTGACAATGACAATCTGTGTGACGGCGAAACAAGCTAGCGTGGCTCTGTCACATAATACATACGACTCTAAGAGTCCAAGCGTAATGTTTACGGGCGATTTTACACTCGCATCTGGTAGGAGACCACAAACCGAAAAAACATGAATACGAGTGATCCAGATATTCAAAGCAGAGTTGTTTGATGCACTAAACATGCTTTTCAAAGAGATGTCAGGCGCCCAGGTTGTTACGGTGCATTGCCGTCAGGGAATTGGCAAATATGATGCTATCGATGTGGCCTACGTGTGCGGCCATGGAGTTATCGCTCCAAATCCCAAGCAGACGGGTTCGACTGCAAAATTATAGCCGAAACTAGTATTTTTCATCAATCTCCTGGCATCCACCGACAGCCGTTGATTGCATTTCGATGTCGAGTAAGCATGACTTTCGCACCGTGTCGTTCCCTTAATTACTCGTTCTCGTTAACAAACTTCTGGCGATGGTATTGCTTCGTGTCCTGTACGCGTCAGCTCTGCGTACGCAACGAGTAAAACCTTGATTGAGTTTCAAGCAATCTGTCGATGCAATGACCAGCATCTGGTGGACGGACGCAGCGCAGCGTCCACTATTTCAGATTGAAACTTAAGGTTTGACGACAACTTTTTTTTTTT